TTTTGTTGATTTGGAAATAGTTGCATAATTTAAAAAAACAGGAAGTTTGTGATTCGATTTGTTTGCACTGCTTTAATATTGATATTTGATTTTTAAACATTCTCCACGGCAAGAAATATATCGTTGCTCAGCAACCCAGACCTAAATTTATCTATGTCAAAACAATTCAGCGGATAGACATGCAACATTCAGTTGTCATTTTAATAAGCGTCTATATTTTACAGCACACTTAAAGGTAGTTTCCTGAAGGGCAATAAATCTCGATTTAAATTGATTTGTTCAATTTTCACCAGCAGGAATGTGTAAAACGTGTGTGGGAAAAGGAAAATGCGTCTGTCTTAACGATTCGGATCAGTCAAGGTCATTAAATTAGCTGACACGATTTCATTCATAAATAGCGTAACTAACTGCTCTTTTTATACTGTGGTTAGAGATGTAAAAAACGGTTTTTTTTCAGGTGTGAAAAAAAAACATGAAAAACAACCTGTTTTTTTTTCAAATACGCTACAATAAAGCATATTCTGTCAATAAATAACATCAATCTTAAAAAATTGAGTAATTTTTCAAAATGAAATTTTGAGTAAAATGTAGGTATATTAATAATAAAGTGAAATGTAGAATATATTACATTTTTAATTATTGAAAATTTTGACCGAGACTAAAACTTCTACCAATGTTGCCAGGTTTGGTGAAAATTCACCAGATTTGGTGATTTTTAATTCATTTGGTGATTAAGTGAAAACTTTTTTTAAAAGCCTTATTTCTGGTGATTTTTTCGACCCTGTTTTAAAATCTGGTTACAGACATCAATACCTTGGATAGTTTAGGGAACTAAAATATTAAAACATTAATATTTTTGCCCAAAACTAAATTTTGGAAAGTGTGTAATGCCAAAAACCGTTACAAATGTCTTTTCTTTCCAGAGCTTTAAATAAAATAAATAAAACAAAAATGCAAAATTCATTAGACACCTAAACATTAAGTGGAATTTTACATAAAAAGAAAAAGATTAATTTTAAACTGCTGCTTTAACTTTTCGGTTACTACAGATATTATTAAATCGCACAAATTATAGTATGTAAATAAAATTTGTTTTTTTATAAGAACAAGTCTCTAATAAAATGTGTTTTAAAGCATTGTATTTAGTTTAATTTAATTATTATATGCAAATATGCAAAAAATACAAAATCTGGTGATTATTTATTAAATCTGGCAACTTTTAAAGCAAGTGTCTGGTGATTTTAAGTTTTTTGACCTGGTAACATTGACTTCTACACTAATAGAAAAAAGGATGAAATTTTTTTTTTGCGATTTTTCGGATAGCTTTATGTTTTTTCGTTAAAAATGGTCGTATTACCCAAAAAAGTGTGGCTTTTGCTGATGATGTCACAATGATCGACTCTAATAAGGATCTAATTTCACTTAAACTGTCTGCTAAAGAATCTGAGACTACTGCTTTTGACTGGTTTACGCCTAATAAATTGGCAATGAACAACGACAAGACCCAGAATTTAATTTTTTCAAATAATTCCACCGTTACCAAAGGAAATCACGTAAAACTCCTAGGTATCACAATAGACGATAAATTAGACTGGAAAGCGCATATTGAACAACTTGGCAAAAAACTTTCCAGTTCTATTTTCGTAATTAGGCAACTGTTCTATATACTTTCACCTGACATCCTTAGGACCTGTTACTTTTCGTTATTCAACTCCCATCTTAGTTATGGTATAATTTTATGGGGCAATTCAGTGAATGCTATAAAAATCTTTAAATTGCAAAAACGAGTGGTTAGAGTTTTAGTGAAGGCCAAAGCTAATGAACATTGTCGACCCATCTTGTCGCTACCGTGCCTGTTTTTACTATATTCTTTAATGGAAATCCACAACACCAAATCTAGTCACATTTTAAGTCATAATATTCACAACTACAATATTAGAAACACAATTTTTTTAAGAACCTCACAGTTTAGGCTTAAAAAAACTTTTAAAAATACCTTAAATGTCAATTTATACAATCACCTACCTCAAAAAATTAAGGAACTAACTTCCAAACGATTTAAATCGACACTAAAAAATATTTTTTTTTTCAAGCGGCCATGATATAAAACCTTATATGCATGTATAGAGATAGTTGAAGTGCGTCTTTTTCATTAGCGGCAGACAAAAAACTCAAAAAAGCCTAGGGATAGAAGTAAATCCATAGGTGACTCAATAAACGTCAAATAATAAAATTAATTTAGCATTTCATACAAAGCAATCACGATGTATTAATTATGTTAATTATAATCGCACGGAATATTTAGTGATTATTTATTAAATTTTAATTGAACGAAATAAAGAAAAACTAGTTTATTAGTATAATATTATGATGATAGACGAGTCGCCAATGTCGAAACTTCAAACAAATGTCAGTACGTCAAAATTAATTCAAGCGCAGCATTTTGACAGAGCAGTGTTTATTTTTAGTTTCGGATATTTATCGGCATTGTAAGTAAGGTTTATTAGTTTTTTTAGTTTTTATCAATAATTTCTAATGCTTTTAGCCAAAATTTTATCCCACACGAGTTATGAGTAAATAAAATAATTCTATTGCTTATCCTATTTATATTATGCCCTTGAAAAAAAAATTGTATATGTTATTTGGAGTAGAAGCTCTTTTTGTGCTTCGTACAGTTGCCTGCCTCAGCTATGCTTCGGCCGTCAATCTATGTACTCACCACAAAAAGAGTCACTTCTACTCCTTATAACATAATCTACTATTTTTTTCAAGCGGCCATGAAATACAACCTTATATGCCTGTATAGAGATAGTTGAAGTGCGTCTTTTTCATTAGCGGCAGACAAAAAACTCAAAAAAGCCTAGGGATAGAAGTAAATCCATAGGTGTCTCAATAGACGTCAAATAATAAAATTAATTTAGAATTTCATACAAAGCAATCACGTTGTATTAATTATATTAATTATAATCGCACGGAATATTTAGTGATTATTTATTAAATTTTAATTGAAAGAAATAAAGAACAACTAGTTTATTAGTATAATATTATAATGATAGACGAGTTGCCAATGTCGGAACTCCAAACAAATGTCAGTACGTCAAAATTAATTCAAGCGCAGCATTTTGACACAGCAGGGTTTATTTTTAGTTTAGGCTTTGTTATCTATGGTTTAGGATATTTATCGGCATTGTAAGTAAGGGTTATAAGTTTTTTTAGTTTTTATCAATAATTTCTAATGCTTTTAGCCAAAATTTTATACCACATGAGTTAAGAGTAAATAAAATAATTCCATTGCTTATCCTATTTATATTACGCCCTTGAAAAAAAAATTGTATATGTTATTTGGAGTAGAAGCTCTTTTTGTGCTTCGTACAGTTGCCTGCCTCAGCTACGCTTCGGCCGTCAATCTCTGTACTCACCACAAAAAGAGTCGCTTCTACTCCTTATGACATAATCTACTATATTAGAACAATGTTTTTATTTAATTAAGGAATATCTTGAACATGTTTTTAACCCATACATAACGTTGTATTTTCTTTTAAACACTGTTGTTGTTTGTTTGTGTTATTTATACAATTTTTATTTATGAACAAAACATATGTATTTTTATTTACTACATATATGTATTTACTTAATATTCTCTAATGGTATTGTATACTTTTTTTTTGACCTGTCACAAACATATTGTAATATTGTAATGTTGACCAATAAATTTATTATTATTATTATTATTATTATTGGACCCGTAAAAAAAGCAAATTGAAGCTTGAAGTTTCTAGTTTTGAGATTATTAAATAAAAAACGTGCAACGCTCAATCCTAACAAATACCGTAATAAAAAAAATCGAAATTTTTTGGCTTTCTTTTTTGGTCCACGGAATGTTCTGACTCTGAAAAAAAAAATTCTATACTCTACATGAATTTGAAAAATCATGAAAAAAATGCTTTTGGTAGCTTTTTGAAAAATCAAGCCCTGAATCAAAAATATTATAGGTAGGTAGTTACTTTTTTTAGGACCAAATCAAAACAAGTGCGACCCTTATTGGTCAATTCGGTGGTGGTGGCGCGTGCATAGCGCGAGACTGTATTTACATTTACTAAATGTCATTTAGTGGCTAAAAAAAAAACAAAAAAAATGCTTTTGGTAGCTTTTTGAAAAATCAAGCCCTGAATCAAAAATATTATAGGTAGTTACTTTTTTTAGGACCAAATCAAAACAAGCGCGACCCTTATTGGTCAATTCGGTGGTGGTGGCGCGTGCATAGCGCGAGACTGTATTTACATTTACTAAATGTCATTTAGTGGCTAAAAAAAAAACAAAAAAAACAAAAAAACGGACCGTTTTTTTTTCATCTCTAACTGTGGTACAGCTGCGGCTTGGCAGTTAGCCCATATAATTAATAGAAATGTTTATAAAAAAACCTGACCGAATCAAATATAAATTTGTTTTAAGGTTTTATCTCACGTGATTAATGGATGTCCTCTTAGAATCTTGTCGGATATTTGGCATCCGGTCAATCAACCATCCGTTTTCTCTCTAATTTTAATTAAAAAAAAATACAAGAAACTAAATTGACAATGTATGTTAAAAAAATAATTTTTTAAAACATTTAGCATACATGGGATTTAAATTAAATAATTAATATTTTTAAAGAAACAGCATTTTAGACACGCTATGCATTAATAAACTGGTTATTGATCAAATAGAGTTATTATTCAGAATGAAATATCGGGACAAAAGTACTTTTTATTTAACAATATTTTTCACTGTAAACAGTAGTTTACAAACGTGGATCCACCATACACTTTTTGTTGCTTAGTATAGGTATTTCTTGCTTTTGGAAAGCTATAAATAGGCCTTACCTACCATAATCATTCGTCATCATAAAAAAAATCAAATTTAAAGTCCAATTCCAATCTGTTTCTATCAAATCCTAATAAACATAATCATAGAGTAGTTCGATACCCATTTGTACTACTAGTGCACTACAAAACACCAAAATGAAATGCCAACGTAAGGTCCTTTATTCAATTTCACGGCGTTACAAAGCTAAAATTTTTTTTTGTTGTCTCATGTCCATTGTGTGCCACACTATATATTATAACGAGACGAAATCAAAGCACGGTCTGGCAAATAACAATGGTCAATGGTTAGAAATTACCATCGTAGAGAAATTGAACACCGTGCTTTTTATTACCACCTGATTGACGCATAATGGCCTATTGATTTAAAAAATTCTTGATTTAAAAATCCCACGTCAGAAAGAAAACAATTCTATGAAAAGTACAAAAATTATGTCAATAGATTAAAAGCTCAAAATTTGTCCGTTTTTCGCTACCAAGTCAGATAAATGATTTGCAATTTTTGCTAATTTTCTGTAATCGAATGTCATTTAATTAAAAAATACCAAAAAATTGAAAATAAGAAAACGACTTTTAGTTTTGTTTCGCGTATTAAAGACAGTGCTACAACATTTAACCAATTGAAAAATTGAAAATATTTTTTATTTGCAGAAATAATTTAAAAAATTAAATAATCCATTTTAACGATTTCTCATTTTTTTTCTCATTATTTCGTCATAATTATTTTACTTTTTGACAGTGGCGAAACGCGTCGCCGCGGCGAATGTTTTCCATTGCGTCATCAATTTTAACTGTCAAAAGCGGTTTGTCGACATACATCCGGCATTGTTACTCGAGTTTTTTTAAATAAATTTTTAATAAACATGTACAATCGAATCGGTGAGTTCAAGAACAGTACAAGTCCAAAATTTAAATTGTTTACAAGTTATTTTATAAAATAATTTTTTTAGTTTAAAATGCATTTTTAGAGAATATTTTAACTATTTTATAAAATATAATAACCATATTTTGTACAATAGTTAAAACATTCCCACAAAAATGCATTTTAACCTATAAAAATAATTTTATAAAATAATCAAATTTTAAATTTTGGACTTGTACTGTTCTTGAACTTACCGATTCAATTTATGCGATAACCATAACAAAAGTTAAATTTTATTTTACATGAGTAAAAATGTTCATTGCTTTGGAATTTATTCTAATTTTAAAATATTTTTAAAAGTCAATTTAGAATGTTTAACTATTAGGTAATTAGTTAATATATCATGTTATTTCCTGCCTTGTGCACAGGTTAACATTTAATTATATATTATGTAGAAAGTTGCAAAAATTAAGTTAACATTAAAATTACAGGAAACAACAAAAATCTTAAAGGTGGTCGAACCAAGGTTTGCAGATATATATCGCTCGATATATATGTTCTGCTTTAGGTTTCCACGGGCGTTATATGTATTAGTGGTTTTTCGGGATCTGCTCCGTGTTGTCGGTTTTTGGTTCTTAAAAGAACCGTATGTCTGACGAAATACAATCTCATGTACCATCTTCAGGTCTTATCTGCTGGGCTGCTGTTGCTGCTCTGCTGCGAGTTAGTTTAGCTCAACTTTAAAAGTTATGGCCATTTGATGTTTGAATAACCCTTTCGCCAATATTTGCTAATAAATCAAATTTATGTATATCTATGTAATCTATAATAATAATTTTAATTTTGTCGAAACGATTTTCTTACGTTAAAGTATATAGATTACAAAAGCAGTGGTAGGGAACACACATTACTTTACTATATATATTTTAATTAATAATCCAAGTAATCATTTAAATCATACTTAAAAGTTACAATAAATGTGAAAATTAAAGTTTGAAGTTGATGTTGAATAAAAATCATAGTAATATATCTTATTGGCAAATAGTAAAGTAGATTATATGAGTCACTTAACTTCAAGCGGCCAAAGCTTTTTAAATTGAGCTACATTTTTAAAATCCATTGATGGTATTGGTCTCCAATAAAAGTGCTATCGAACCATCCAGACCGCATCTTTGATGAGCCTAAAATTGTTGCATTTTATTGTGGTGTGAACGTAGTTAACGTTGTAAAAAGTATTTCAATTAAAGTAAAAGCAAAAATTAAAAAGTGTCGCTCTACTTTCACATAATTTAATTAATATAGAAAAGCATGTGAACATCGATAAATTATGAAAACAATACAGCTTCATAAGTTTTTAATGAGTACAACAGTACAAAATTGGTTTTATTTTAGATACTATATGAGGTTTTGTGGAATAACTCAATCAATTATACTACAGCAGTTTGTCTTAATTTGTTTTAAAACTGTTTTTAACAAAATATAGATATACTTCTAATCTCATTACTACTACTGGATTATTAAAATTTGCTTTAAATTATCTGTAGACCAACAATATCATGATAAATACTGCAGTACACCATTTTATACACGAATTTAATTTAAGCATGAGCGAGCTTGCGAGCGAGTGCTTAAATTAATGAGTGTATAGAAGAAAAGTTTATAAACGAGGTGCAAACTATACTTTTTCTACGACAAATACTTATTATTATCTTAAAATGAATAAATCAAAAATTTGTATAGAGCGCCATCTATGAAACAATAGGGGAATCTGTGTGTCACCCTCAAATGGCAAATTTTGTAAACACAGATTATAAAGGTTATAAATCGAAATGTATTTCTTGAAAATTGACAGTTTTTCACAGTGAAAGTAAAGAAAATGCTTTATGAGCACCCGTGCCCTAATTTAAGTTATAGTTTACTGCCGGCGAAATTAAAAGGTCAGTATAATGTTCATATAAACTTTTCAAAAATTGGCGTTGAGAAACTATTTAATACTTTTGTATTTTTGTATTGAGATAATAAAATAATTTTCACATTTAGTATTATTTTACAACAAAGAAATTTTATTTTAACGATTGTATGACATTTGACAACTGTCAACTAACTTAAAAATAACTTCAGCCCGTGACTAAAAACCTGTTGCCAACCTTAGCTCGTGACTAAAGCGCCATAAAGCCACAACTTGTCAATGTGTATTTAAAAGGTGTCATGAAAACATGTACGATAAAGGGCGTTTTAAAGGTGGGAGTAAAAAAATGTATTTTTCTACTATTGCATGTTATGGATATTATTTGGGTTTTTTTCGTAAATAATGGTAACCAATATAACTGCCCATCCTAACAACGTGAATAATCAACTCAATATTGATGATTGGCTGATTTCAATATTCACTGTTATTTAAACCAATCGAGTTTTAAATTGAAAAAAAGTGAGGTTAACAGATGTCAGATTTTTTATATATACGAGGGGCGACTAGAATGATCTTTAAAATCGGGAAGGAAAGTGAGGTTATAATACATTTTGTTATTAATGAAAATAACTTAATTGGAGTCGAAATAATGCGCATTATTCACTCGGATGATTTACGTCTCTCGCCTAACGCCATCTTTGTGAATAAAAGCCTGCATTATCTATCGTATAATAACATACTATAGTATAATATATTAAACATCATACATTTTGTTATACAAAGTAACAATCTGTATACAGGGTGTCCCGAAAATAGTGTGCAATAATCTAGTGTTGTATTTTTGGATGTATGGATTAATATTTTTTGTTAATTATAATTATATAAATATTAAATTAAAAAAGAAATAAAAGTTTTTTATTTTTATTGAAAATGTTCAACAAGAGTACCTTTTTAATGTAGATTTTTATATTCTGCAGCCAACTTGGAAAACAAAATTTGGGGCGACGTATACAATAAAATAATAAAGCCTTAAAAATATCTCAAACTAATTAAAATGTTTATCTAATCCCATTACATAATATTGTTTTTTTCCGTAAATAATGATAATGTTAGGCATCAGTGATTGCCCAATTTCATTATACCTGATTTGGAACGATCGGGTTTTAAATTCGGAGAAGGCAACTATAATGATATTTAAAATTAATAGAAAGTGAGGTTAACCATCTGACAGATGTCAGATTTAAAAATTCTACATGACGCATGAAATTCGCCACGCGATCACTTGTATGATGTTTAGGGGCGCGAGTGTTAAAAATAGTTGACGACTATTATTAAACTGTATTTTTGTTTTTTAGTAACCACTCCAACACCTCCACCCAGACCATGGATCCCTTTGGCCAGGCCAACCACCAATAGGCCAACTTGTAAGTAAAAATTTTTTTATATATATTTTATTGTTTCGACCTTTACTTGATGAAACTCCATGTCACTAATATATAATAATAATAATAATAATAATAATAATTCCTTATTTTTTTTTCATTTAAATGTCAACTGTTTAACCGCTGATTTTCGTTAAGGCCATGATACAAGGCCAAGAAACTTTGAATAAGAATTTAATGTGTGTTAATTTAAAGCAGAGGAAGAAGTCTAAATAATGTAAATTATGTTACATAACCTCAATGAAGCCGGATTATTCAGCACCATCACAAAAAACTTTTTTAAAAAAAGGTGAACAAAATAAAAACAATAAACAAAGTTAAAATCATTCTTACATTTTTGTTGTTTATTTATAGGCATAGCACAATGCCAAGAAAAAAATCTAGTGTTTGGAATTATTTTTTACTTTACTTTTTACTTTTCAATATTCCTATATATTAGTTACTTTGTCCCTTTTAATTTTTTTACGTAATATTTAGGATTTACTAGCAGTGAATTTCTAATAGTAAAACTTTTATTTTTATTTTGTAGGTTTCAGTATACAATAGGAATATTCCAAAGTAAAAGATACTAAAAATAGTATTGCATTTTTTTTTCTTAATAAAATTTGACAAAAAGTTAATGTGTTATATATTTTTGCAAATCCCTGGCATAAAAAAATATTTTCGCAATAAAATTTTTTTTTTTGAAACTTTCGGAAAACTTCGGGAATTTTCGATAAAAAGTTTTCGGGAATTTTCGATGAAAAGTTTTCGGGAATTTTCGTCAAATGGGAATTTTCCCATCTCTACTAATATATAACTGGATAAAAAACAAACACTGTTTTTGAGTTTCACGAATTTATTTAAATTTTATTTGACAATTGTTTCGCTAACACTTTCTGAAGAAGCTACAGTGTTAGCAAAACAATTGACAAATAAAATTTGAATAAATTCGTGAAACTCAAAAACAGTGTTAGATTTTTATTAGAGGTAGCGATAGTGGTAAAAAGTAGACTATCGATAGCATCGATAGTGAGAAAAGCGACTATCGATACTATCGATTAACTATCGATAGTTTACTAAAATTTCAAAACCTTATAGTTTAACATTTTATTTAAAAAATAAGGGGTTTATTTTTATAGTAGGCACATTTTCAACCTACCAAATACAGGAGAGTCAAAAATATAGTATAGCACAAGGAGTCCGAACTTTATGTAAACAAGAATCTTCCTAAGATAAGAGGGCGCTGGTGTTCCGTTTATTCTGAAACAATTGACTTATTTGTACCGAAACGCTACGTCATTACGTATCGACAATCAGCGCCGCTGGTGGTGAAAAGACTTAATTTGTGCAATTTAGAGGGCAGGTTTTGTCAATTTCCCCTATTAAGTTTGGACTCCTTGTGTAGGCTCCATGGTATAGTATTTTAATATAAATATATACCTTAGTTATTAAAACCTTTATATAAAAATCTATAATAACTATCGAGTTTCAAAACATCAACAATAAAATAATTGACAGCACATATTTGAGACAGTTTACCGTTCTAGGGTCCCTAGATTTTTCCAACTAAAACCCCAAATTTTTAATGACGTCAAATTTCGAATAAAAACAACGACAGTTATAATAATTTTGTTTGATTCTACTATCGCTAGACGATAGTTTGTAACTATCGATAGAATCGATAATTCGATAGTTTTTAAAATATCGAAACTATCGATAATATCGCTACCTCTAATTTTTATCCAGTTATATATTAGTAAAAATATTTGCTTAGGAATTAGTTTCTTCCAATTTCTAATGAATTTCATGGTATGAGACATACTAATTTATTTTTATTTCGTAGGTATTTTCACTGTGATGTGCTACAACGTTCTCTGTGATAAGTACGCCACTCGGCAGATGTACAGCTACTGCCCGAGCTGGGCCCTGAACTGGGACTATCGGAAAAAGGGCATACTCGACGAGATTAAGCACTATGGCGCCGACATTATAAATTTACAGGAGGTGGAGATGGAGCAGTTCTACAGCTATTTTCTGCCCGAACTGAAGTTGGACGGCTACAACGGCATCTACTCGCCCAAGTCGAGGGCGAAGCACATGGCCGAAACCGAAAGGAAATACGTGGACGGATGCGCAATATTTTACAGAACATCGAAGTAAGTTTAACCGAATATGAAAAATTTATAAATATGTGTCTAATCTTGATTTTTTTATGCAAGGTGCAACTTTTTAAATGCAAAATTTTGTGAAACGTTTAGTTTTTCACAAAATGTAACGATTTTAGCTTGTATAAAATATAAAAATATTAAGTACTCTACACTATAAAATCTTCTTTATGAAATAAAAAAATGCGAATTAACTTTCAAAAAAATATGCAATTAATTAAAAAAGTTATTGACTACGAAACTAAAGTCTATTCAAATCCAAGCTGGACTAAACAAAAACGCCCAGACGCGTGATATCTCGTTTCTATTGGTCGATGCTGATGGTGTGACTCGGATTGTGAGCTCTTATTGGTCGATTCGGAGGATTGTGTTTACATTTAGTCCAGCTTGGATTTGAATAGACTTTAGTCTTATTTTTTTTAATTGCGTCATCAATTTGAGAACCAAGCATAGACATTACAATTTGCTGTTTTCTTTGTATGTAGGATGTATGTCGAACGTGTCAAAAATAGGGTTTTACAGTGTCCGAAAACAACAGAAAAATTGGGGGAAAACTGTTTTTTTCCAGTTTTTTCCTAGGCCTTGGACAAATGGGACAAATTAAATTGTTTTTGGGAAATATACACATTTGAAAAAACGTAGCAATCAACATTATTTTTATTTAAAAAAATATCCTTAAAAAAATAAAACCAATCTTGAATTAAATTAAATTGATTTAAGAAAATAAACGTAAACGTTAAATAGACTGTATAGAATCAAGTAAGTAAGGCTGGAGACAAGGATGACAAATTATATTCTGATCAGAGAAAAATAAACAAACTTTAATTGGGCGTGGTTTAAACCAAGCCATTCGTAATTACGAACCATAGTTGCCAGGTTGTGTTAAATCACAAGAGAACGGTTATAATTATTTAATAAACGATGTGGCTCCCGTCCCGAGGCGGGACTTAAGTTCAGTCCCGATTGACGTCACACACTGTAAATCCGTTTTTATTCCCCGAGATTTTATAATTTGTGTCAAGCTCGATGGCTTAGATGGTAGGGCGGTCGCTTGGCATGCGAGAGGTACCGGGTTCGATCCCACTAGAAGTTGTCAAATTTTTTTTATTTTTTTTATTTTATAAATTTGTTGTTTCTTTGTTAAAAAGTGTTTTATTTTTATCGTAAATTAAATTTGCCCATTTTAGTTGGGTTTTTTGCTCAATGGGGCGGGGGAGGGCCCAATGGGGCGGGGTCGGTTGGGTTGTGTTGTTGAGTTTGGGTTGGTTTGGTTTTATGACGTAACTAAAGTGCCCTTAACATGTATACAGGTACAATTTATTATTATTATTATTTTATTATAACATAACAAATCTTAAAATTATGACAATCGGGACTGAACTTAAGTCCCGCCTCGGGACGGGAGCCACAGCGTTTAATAAATAGTTCAGTTTTATTTGTTTGAAACTTTAAAAATAATAAAAAAATTAATAATTTGTCAAAAATAATTTGATTTAGTTAATTTTCTTACTTTTAATATTAAAAAATAAGAAAAACAACCCTTTTAGGAAACAATAATAGCATATGGCAACAGCGCGGCATGCAGCCAGATACAAGGGCATGCAGCTGTGTTTGTTCAGTAGCTCCGACGCTGTCGTAGGACAATGTGTATAGTTTTTAAGAAATACATTTTTGCCATTAACTGGAATTTAATGGATTTTAAACAATACTTAGTTTTTATTTGCAGAAATGCATTAAAACAAAACAAACGAATTCGATAAAAATAAAACCTATAAATTCTCAAACAAAAATAATTCTAAAATAACGAAAATAACTTTTTTTCTAAATTAATTGTTTAAATAAACCACCAACAGCAGTTAAACAATACCCTACCACAGTGGGCGGGGTTTGGCACTTGTTTTATTTAAGTGTTTTAATACACACTGTATACTGTCGGTTGGGGCTTTTTTGCAAAAAGGGATCTATTGAAAATATCCAATTACAAAATAATGAATGATTTATAAAGTTAAATTAAAAAATTATAATCGAAGTGTCAAATAAAAAGAAAGTCATTAATAGGTTTTATTGCGTAGAATATTTTTACTGAATTAAAATAAAAGGAATAAGCAATAGGGTGGGCCGAAAATAAAAAAAAAATAGAAATTGGATTTAGAATAGGTTCAAAAAGTTGCCTTATGGCCAAACAAAAATAATTTCTATTTTCAGTTTTTTGTTTTTGTGACCTCTTTTGCCCCCTACCAGGGCTCAAAAATTTGAAAAAAAATGAAAATAAAAATTTTGAAATTTTGTTTTGGAATACCTCCCAATATTAGGAGATTGATAATGCAAAGATAATTTTTATTTACAATTGTATATGGTGATAAACCTTTTGCCCCCTACCGAGCATCAAAGTGTTAAAAAAAATCAGATTATTAAAAATTTTTACATAAAAAATATTTTTTTTTATATATTTCAATGGTATTTTTGTAGTGTATCTTTAAAACTTTTATCTTTGGAAAAAACTGCTATCTTTAAAACTATTTATTTGTTATAAAAAACGATAAATTGTACTAGGTACGGCTTTGTTCACAGTTTTGTCTGTGGCTTTGTTCCTTCCATAATACACGCAAGCAAACAGAGCATTTCGAGAAATTGACTCTTGCAGATTATAAAATATTAAACTGCGAATGTCGACTTTAATGATCTAAGTTAAGATCAAAAATATATGTATCAAATTTGTCTTGCCATATCTTTTGGTTAATGTCCAGCCGATTTATTAAACTGTAATCTATGAAAATTAAACCATTCCCGATGGCTGACTTTAGCCAACTGTCTTTTCCGAAAGATGTATTTCACTTTATTTTAAACTACATTGGAGCATAAACCTTTAATATAAAATTGGCTAGTTTTTTTTAAATTTGATGTGAGATCGTTTGTTAAAATATAAAAGCGCAAAAGACAGTTGGCTAAAGTCAGCCATCCAGAATGGTTTAATTTTCATAGATTACAGTTTAATTAATCGTATTACCCTTTGAATAAAATGAAAACAATTTAAATTTTTCTGAAAATTTCACAATTGTTGCGTTTTTTTCCGCCGGCTCAATTTTTCCGGATATTTTAAAACCCTAGTTGAAAAACAGTTTTTTTACATTTTAATTGATGACGCAATGTAAAACATTCAAAAAATAGACTGTACATACGGTTTCAGAAATTCCTTAATTTCTTGTATGCAACGATTATGAGAGAGACGAATGTATTGTAATCGCTTTGTTCTTGCTTCCTATTGCTTATTGGCTATAGGAAATTTACTATACTACTCGTATATATTATTTGGAAAATACATTCAAATGCCCTTGTTAAAGTTGACGAACCTATTTTAAATTAAAATTACTTTATACAAGAAATTTAAAAAAATTTAATGTGACGCGGTCCTAGGAAAGGAACCTAAGCGTTTTATCGCTAATTTTAGAGAAGAAAGGAAAGAACGGTCAAGCGTTCTATTAAACACAATGTTACGGAAAATATTCAAGAAAACTTTTTTTTTGTCGAGTGGTTAATAATGCGCCGATTGTATTCTCAATTGTTAATAATTATATTATATGACGCTGTGAACAATCTTATTCCTTCCCCTGTATATATTTATATTCCCTCCCGCTAATCAGGTTAGAATAGTATATTCTGTAAGTTTGGAATACAGCATATTCCGCTCGAGTGAAGAGTTTGTCACACGAGCCGAAGGCGAGTTTGACGGTTTCACGAGAGCGGAATATGCAATTCCAAACGTGTTTCAGACTATACTTTTACTACGTTTCTAAAAAATATCATGGAAAAATAATTTAATTGGAAGAAAGTGAGGTTGGATCGGTCTAAAATTTGTTAGATATTAAAAACAGAGATGTCGCCACGAGTGTTTATTCTGTCATCAGATGATAGAATATTTCATTCTGTAACACTTTACGGAATATATGTCATTCCATAAATAAAAGTTATATTAGAACGGTTTTTCTATGGGTCAAATTCTGTAATAGAAGTAGAAAAATGTTTTATTCTCTCCTGCTACCATGGACTTTGAAAGTAAACGACAGAATTAAATTAAACGTCAAATTTATATAATTTTGACAAAAGTTTTTTGGCAAAAACCCAAATTTTGTAGGTATTTTTAAACGAAAGTGAGCATTTATAGAATGTAGCTTAAATAACTTGAAGTAGGTACTAAGTAGGTACTAACTTAATTGGAACGACTTTAGGAATGTAAACGTCAGTTTTTAATTAAACGTTACTTGTTTTAAATTTTCTAAAAATTAATTAATAATTAGCACCACTCGACAAAAAACTATAGTGTTTGCCTCGCATGGAATCGCAATTACTGCCTCAATAAATTTCTTCACTTGCCTATCGGCTCGCTCGGAAACTTTCATCATCGGAAGTAATTATGATTCCACACTCGGTAAAAATGTACTATTTCTACTCATATTACGGAATATGACCGTTCTAATATCAATTTTTAATGTGGAATTACATATACATATATCACTGGATGACGGTATACCATATACTTACCACTGTTTGGTAAGTATATGCGGTATAAGTATAGTCTGAAACACATTTGGAATTGCATATTCCAAACTTGTTACAGAATATACTATTCTGACTTTAGGTAATCAAATAGCAGTCTTTAATTAATATATGTATCATAATACAGAAATCGATTTTTTGCGCCCAGGGTCCTTTCCAGGAAGCGCGTCGCATATACATAATTATATTACAAAAAGAGTTTTTCCCCCCATAAACAACATTTAGAAAAATATTCATTGTTTGCCAAATCTTTAAAAAAAACTAAAAATAGTTTATAAATGGGTTTAATATAGTTAGTTATCTTGGATATTAGGCCTTAAATTATAATTTGTTTTCTTTTAAGATTTACATTGATCAAAGAACATCTAGTAGAATTCAATCAATTGGCAATGGCTAATGCTGATGGCTTGGAACACATGTTGAACAGAGTGATGCCAAAGGATAACATTGGTTTAGCTGCTCTATTACAAACCACTGAAGCTGCTTGGGAAAATAGTAAGTATCAATTCAAAAAAACATGGAATTACTTAATTTTGCGCTCATACAGCTTCTAAAGTCACCATTTTTAATTGTTGAGAATGTTTTTTACAAAAAAACTAAATTCAAAACTCCAATACAATTTGATTTACCTTTACAAGTATGAGAACTTAAACAGGGTTTCCCAAAAACTGGGATATATCAGAAAATTTATTTTTCCAGGGAAAATGCAGGGGTCAATTTAAGACAAACATTTTTTGCCATATAATTTATTGTTTTAAGTCTATTTATGATGTCTGGCTATAACAATGCGGAATTTCCCGGATTATATTTAGGATACAATTTTTTTTTTATATCACAAGTAGCATTTTTAGTGGATATTTATCTAGAGGCCTCAAATAATTTCTTTATTATTTCTGGTCACCTGCAACCAATAATTGAATCAGTGAGAATAAGAACAGTCTAAAACACGGCGGCGAAAACTTATTAATTGCCTCACAAAATCTACTGCCTCGGCTATCGTGAAAATTAGGCTTTAGAGTGGGTCGAATATCCGCTTTTTTCGAAATTAATTTGGTAATAGAAAAAATATTAATCTTTGAGGCAAAATGGGTATGGAAAAAAATTTGGTTGACATATTTGGCTTGCCAATGGCACTTAAAATTAAAAGTAAAAAAATAGTACATTATAGACCAGGCGGAGAAAGCACATGTTATTGCTGAGGCAGTAGATTTTGTGAGGTTAATTATTAATTATAAGTTTTCGCCGCCGTGTTTTAGATACTATTTTTTGTCAAGCATTTAATTAAATAGTATTAATATGAAGTCTTTCTATTTAGACTTATGAGTCTTATAATATGAAAATTATATATGCTTGAAAAAATAGTACATTATCTAATAGGCGGAGAAGGCTGCAGATCTGAGCGAGGCAGTTAATATGCGGTGTATAATTTTTTGACTTAAACTGCGTACAAAATAAAGACTATATAGGCTTATACTGCCCTACTATGGAGAAAGGCAGTAACTACGAAAAAATTCTAAATGGGTTTTCTTGTGGTATAATAAAGCTATGGACATTTTGTATCTTAATTCAACAAAGAAATGCAGTAAACAATCTCATAAGTTAAATAATTCAATTAAATACCTACTGCTTTTTATAAAAATGTAGTTTATGCCAATTTCCCACAAATTTCTTGTATAGCACTGCCTTTCTCCATAGTTGGACTTATAATAAGTGTTATAATATGAAAATTGTTATACGCTTATGAACAAACATTTTTTTATTAAGTTAGTAAATTTAATTGTTTACAAAAAACATCATTTTTAATTGTCGCATAATTATAGTTTCAGAGATAATTGCGATTTCAGTTATAAAAATGGAAATTTTAAGATAAAATCGCAAATATCTAGATTATATCTGAAACCACCTTTTTGTAGAGAATTAAATTTAGTAACAAATTTTATAAAATAAATTACTTTTTAAATTTATTTATGAGCCAAAAAAGAATACAGGATACAGCCACTCAGTGTCAAGTTCTTAAAAATTCAGTTTCTGACGACTGTAATAACTATACTATTAGAGTTACGTGAAAGAGTGGCTGTACAAGCTAAACTATAAGTGATACAGCAAAATATTTCTTAACAAATTTGTAGGGCACAAAATTCCCTACAATTTTTTTTATCTACAATCAATAGTTTAGTCTCCAAATAAGATTTACTGCTATTTTAGAAGATTTTCGAGTAGAACGGCAATTTGTGAAGAACATATTCAACTTACAGACTTGCTTAAATAGACTTTTTTGAAGATAATTTCATCCTGTATAAATATTTTAGAACCGAAATTCTCAAAAAATATTAAAATGTGCACATGAAAAACTTAAGTAATTTTTTTCATAATTCCCAGGAAATTATAACGATTTTTGAATTTGACAGGTTTTCGGTTTTTTTTTACCATTGTAACGGGTGCGACAATGACACTGCGTTTTTTCATGATAATAAAGTGTTTGTTAATATATATCAAGATACTTATAAACAAAATGTCAAAAAAAACTTGTATAGAAAACCTGTTATAACGTCATGAATCGCGAAACGGGCGCGACCTTAGAAAATCCGCAAATGCGACCAAGTTGGCTTCTAAAGTTGATACTGTAAAATTTAGGATGAAGGCATGTAGTAATAATGTTGTGTGTAAAACATGAATAGTAACCTTAAACAAGCACATATTTAAAATGTACAAATATTGTATACTTTATTTTCTAAAATTTTCTCAAAATGTAACGGGTGCGACATTTGAAGATTTTATCGAGTATTGAAACTCTTTTGTATTTAGTCTTAATGTTGGCTTCCTAGCATCACCAATTAGGAATATTTTAAGGTTATAATTTACTTCGCAATTAAACTATTTGACTTTAGATATAGTTTTTAATAATAATAATGCTTTATTGAACTAAAACCAAGTTCAAAGGCTATTGACCGTAGTCCTTCAGCCGCAGTTTTTATTTTGTTAAATAAAACATCTGATTTTTTGTCAAGGTGGGGTAAGGATTTTTTTGTTTAATTTTTAAATGCCATTTTAATAGACTTAGTCCAGGAAACAAAGATTGTAGAAGGAAAACTCGAAGGTAGTCGGGTTTTATTTTTTTTTATGTAGAGTCAGGGGTGCTGATTAATTATTTTTAAAGTTTTAAGTAAATAGAAAAAAAAATGAATTAATGCAACCACAGTGGGTCGGTTAAATTGGGGAAAACTACAAGTTGGTCCAGGAAACAAAGATTGTAGAAGGAAAACTCGATGGTAGTCGAGTTTTCTTTTTTTATGTAGAGTCAGGGGTGCTGATAATGAATCAAGAATATTCCCCAAAAATTTCTTTCCGCGTCCCCTAATTACATCCCCCGAAAGGGGAGTTTTTTTGCTTTTTAGCTCATAACTCGCTAACCGTGCATTTTTTCAGAATTTTACATCTAATGCTTTTGATTATGTACTAAATAAGGCACACGTTAAACCCCATTGCGCACCTATATGATGTGCCCTTTTGCTATGCGCAGTGTGCAAAGTTGAGCGTTGCTTTCAAAATCACTTTTTTATTATAGCCCAATTTTAAAAGTAATCAATCCCAAACCTTACGGTAATCAAACATAACCGAATGGACGATTTTTTGAGGTACTAGACTTTTTTCAAAAGTTACTGCTTTTCATTGTACAGGGGGTTCTTTTTTCAAAACTTTAATTTTTGTGGGGCACTTGCAATGAAAATAATTTTAAAAAATAATAAAAAAAATAATTTTAAAAAATCTAGGGTAGAACGAACTGGCTCATTAAAGCACTTTGGGAAATAAAAAATGGGTTTTTTGAAAAAAGAACCCCCTGAAAAAAGTCTAGTACCTCAAAAAATCGTCCAAAATTGGGCCATAATAAAAAAAAACAAAAAAGTGATTTTGAAAGCAACGCTCAACTTTGCACTGCGCATAGCAAAATGCGCAATGGGGTTTAACGTGTGCCTTATTTAGTACATAATCAAAAGTATTAGAGGTAAAATTCTGAAAAAATGCACAGTTAGCGAGTTTTGAGCCAAAAAGCAAAAAAAAGAATGAAATTAGGGGACGAGGAAAGAAATTTTTGGGGAATATTTTTGATTCATTATCAGCACCCCTGACTCTACATAAAAAAAGAAAACTCGACTACCATCGAGTTTTCCTTCTACAATCTTTGTTTCCTGGACCAACTTTTAGTTTTCCCCAATTTAACCGACCCACTGTGGTTGCATTAATTCATTTTTTTTCTATTTACTTAAAACTTTAAAAATAATTAATCTTTGAGACTAACCAATGCTGGTAATTAATTATATAATTTATTTTTTTAATTTTCCAGTGTTGCCACATTAGTATTTTTGGAAATTAATTTATAAAATACAGGGTTATCTTCAACTAGTGTAACAAACCATACCAAAGTTATCTACCGATCAAAATAAGTCGATTTAACCCAAATTACCTATATACTAAGTTGCTTCGTTTAGTCGTTAGAGGCCTTTAAAGTTTTGAAAAATAACTATTTATTTAAATATCTTAATAACGTATTAATGTATTTTTGGAATATAAGTTTTAACTGCCCATTAACGTCGTTTGGTGCTACACTCAGTTATCTTTAAAAATTAGAATAATCAGAAAAGCAAGGTTAGGTACTATTTTTCGATTGTATTTTTTTTACTGTTGATATAATGGTTTGCTAGCAAATAGAAAGCATTGTTTAAAAACTTTTTTGTCTCTTGTAAAAGTTCGATGAGCGGTTTAGCTAGAAAAAATTATTTTGTAATGTCTGCATACCTACTATCGATATATCGCGATAGATACTATGTTTTATCCCGAAAATTGAACATTATAAATCTAGAGATTCCTTTTCTGAAAATAGGTCAATTTGACTCAACGCAGTTGCTTCGTTTAGCAGATAAAAAGTGAAATACAGAGTGTTGGTAATAGGTAAATGGTGTATAAAGAGGAGGGTTTTCGCATATTTTTTCGGTCACTTCCGGTATCACCGGAAATAGGTCCAGGTCCAAAAAATTAAATAGAAACCCCTGTATATATTTACATTCTCGGATTCTTAACATAATTCTGGACTTAAATGTGATTTTTTAATGCCTTTTGAGCAATTTTTAACAATGCATCTAGGCCACCTTAATGTAATATTAAAAACGGATACAAAGAAAAAGTAGGCGTAAACACTTTTAACAAATATTAAACGCCATGTATATAATTTGCTCATTGCCCAAGCAATACATGCGATAAACAACTTAAGATTCATATTAATTGTTAATATTTTCTTTTCTCAGACGTTTACATTTTTGACTGGGATAAGTTTCGCGATTTTTTGCGATTTTTTTGGTTAACAGTTTTTAGTAGTCTACATCTTTGTCTAATAAAAATAAATATTTTGGCTTGGCATTCGTTGGCCTTCCTATTTTTTTTTAAAACTTAAAAAATTAAATATTCATGGTAATTACCTTATCAGTTCTTGCCAAAAACAGAAAAAAACACGAATTTTCTATAATTTTATATACCCAACACAACTAATTGACAGGTCTAATGTCAGTTATAAAATGTTTAAGGCGACTTTTGCTTTTCACGGCTCTCCAAGCTATACAAAATTCGCAAAAATCGCAGTTTTATTTAAAACGATTGCATTAAAAATAGACTTTCTTTTAAAGATCTGACATTGGGCATTTATAAAAAAGTCTTCGTAGAGTATTTTCAAAAAGCAATTATGTTTTTACAAGTTTGAATATGTTTTTAATAAAACAATAGTGGCAAATTATACATTTTCAATAATGACTTATTGCAACCTAGTTTGGGCATAGGGCCCACAGTGCGACCTTCTAGAACTCAAACAAAATAGATACCCATACACAGATACTTGTTGCGATGCAAACGTTGTAATGTTTGTGTCTTTTAATAGCGCCGTCGGACGCATCGTTCGTCCAACAACCGATCCTGGTGTGCACCGCGCACATCCACTGGGATCCCGAATTCTGTGATGTAAAGTTGATTCAGACGATGATGCTGAGCAACGAGCTGAAAAGCATCCTGGACGAGTCGGCGCAGACGCTGAAGGCGAACGACGTGAACGTCGCCGACCCGAGCAACATACAGCTGGTGCTGTGCGGCGACTTCAACTCGCTGCCCGATTCGGGCGTGATCGAGTTCCTGAGCACGGGCCGGGTGTCGCAGAACCACAAGGACTTCAAGGCGCTCAGCTACAAGGCCTGCCTCGAAAAGATCCTGAGCTGTGATAAACCAAATGAATTTACGCATTCCTTCAAGCTTGCGTCCGCCTATAACGATGAGATTATGCCATTCACAAATTACACGTAAGTACTTAAGGTTTTACTTTTGTCTGTTTCAAGAGGCATAATTCGTCGCTGTTCTGACAAAGAGGCGTAAGGGACATTTTTTCCATATTGGAGTTAAGTTTTTTTACGGTTGAATCTATGATCTGACAAAAGGAAATACATGCATACATGCATTATGTATGTATGTATGTATAGTAAATTTAAAAGTAAACTACGTACACGTCATCAATCAGCTGATCGGGCACGGTTGTCAATGTGATGCTAAAATCCTTGCATCAAGGGAAAGTGGTAGTGCAACTACAGGGCGATAGATGGCGTTTACATGAATAATACCAAAATGTCAAAAGTATGTTTTTAGCCATTTTTAAAGACATTTTCTGATATAAAACCCAAAAATTTTGCCATCTAAAGTCAGTCTCTGGTATATATATTATTATTTTATGTATCCAACATATATTTTGTTAAATATTCTAATATATAATTAATAATAATCCTATTTACCTCTCTAACAGCTGTTAAAGGTAACAAAGGTCCATTATTATCCCGTTCTGCCTCAAAATGGCGTATTAAGGATGACACCAACTCTTGACTCCGACTATTTAAATGCTTCGGCATTTTAAATATAGGAAACACAAAAAAACGATATATAACAAACACAAAAACGGCAATGAAAACTTAAACGATATAAAATAACACAAACAACAAACAAAATAAACGAAATATTCAAAAACACAACTGACAGCTTCGAAATTCTAAAACGTCAAATTCTTTTTTACGTGTCATTTAAATATGAAATATTTGAATGTAAATATGACAACATCTTAATTGTTGCCAACTGAAGAAAAAAAAGGAAGAAAATGCATTCAAATATTCAATTACAGACTTCGATTTAGTCATTTAGTGTTGGTACCAATGCGTAAAATTTTTGTTTTATTGATGACGTGTACGTAGTTTACTTTTAAATTTACTATATGTGTGTATTTCCTTTTGTCAGATCATAGATTCAACCGTAAAAAATCACTTAGTAAACTTAACTCCAATATGGAATAAATGTCCCTTACGCCTCTTTGTCAGAACAGCGACGAATTGTGCTTTATCTTGAACATATTTTATCGCATTTTCTTTACAATTTGTTTCTCTTTAATTTCTTTTATACCAACATGCGTATCATATAATTATTATTCGTTTAATTTTAATTTTTTTTAAATCTTTGCTAATGTCTTTTATATACTGTATTGGCCATAATAATTGCAACAACTGTAAAAAAATCTAACTCTAAAACGCCTTTATTAATCTTTATAAAATTTTGGGTAAAAATACTTCAACTTATATCAGTTTCCATGTTCAAGGGTTTTTCGAGAATATATTTTTAAAGTCCTTTTATTTAAAAATAAAAAAACGTTCGGAATTTAACTAGAAATTTTTTTTAAGTAAAAAATGCTGTTAGTATACCCTGAAAATTTTGTACAAATCAAACGAACAGTAACGAAGATACAGCGCTTCGAAGTCGGTAACAATGGCCCCTTTTTGATTATTTTGCTGAAAAGTGGTCATTTTTGACGTCTTTGAATCTCTGTATCTTCGTTACTGTTCATTTAATTTGTACAAAATTTTCAGGGTATACTAACAAAAATACGGTCTTTAACAGCATATTTATTATCTTTAAAAAAAAATCCCTAAAAGTTATTTTTCGAACGTTTTTTCATTAATAAATAAAAGGGCTTTACAAATATTTTCTCACTAAACCCTTGAACACGTAAACTGAGATGTAAGTTGAAGTATTTTTATCCAAAATTTTATAAAGATTAATAAAGGCGTTTTAGAGATTTTTTTACAGTTGTTGCAATAATTATGGCCAATACTAGGGAATGCAATCTTGCAGGAAAATGGACAGTCTTGGTATAGCAAGATTTAAGAGGTGTAATCTCGCAAGATATCGGTATTTTGCGAGATCTCGCAGATTTAAGATTAATAAAAAAATAAATTAGTATAATTATTTGTTTTGTTAGGTTATATCGTAAAGGCAAAATAATGAAATAAAAGATAAATTAAATAATTTATTTAAGACTATTCCACTCATTACTTTATGGACCAATCAGATTTCAGAAAACGAGTATTTTTTTCAGTGTTGCAGCGATAAAACTTTAGGTAAAAAAACCACTCGTTTATATGACCAACCAATTTGTTGCTATGCGAAAAATAATTGTCAATGTTGACGTTTCTAAATTTAAAATAAAAATGTCAAAAAAATGCGTTTTGGTCAAAAAAATCATGCAAAAATCGATTCGGCAGTTAATTCTATTTTAGTGAAATAGTCTTGCCTAGCGGCTCGTGGTCTTAAAATTTAATGCCACTTTCAAAATTTTCAAGAAAAAAACGTTCGTATAAAAATCAAACATTTTTAAGACTATACATTATTTTTAAATGACTTCTCAAAAAACACAAAACACACATGGAATGCGCTGCGTCCTAACCTCTCAAATCTTGCTCGATCGCGCATGATTTTCGTGCAAGACTAATCTTGAAGAATTAGTTCGAGATCTTGGTATACCAAGATTGCATTCCCTTGCCAATACTGTATACGTATTCATGTAATTATTGTTGGTCAAAATTTTAAAAAATTAAAAATATCACAAAATGAGTATCATATCTTAATCATACTTAAACAAAAATCTGTAAGATTATTTAAAAAAGAATTTACGTTTCACATTTTTAAATATGGGAAAGAGTAGAATCCTTCAAACAGATTTTATTCCTAAACTTTATTTTTCACCCTAGGAAGGTTAAAATTATTTCAGAAAATAGATATATATTAATGGACTCCATTAGTTAGCATACATTTCCAGCAGTCACAAACCAAAGTAAATGTGAGCAGGAAAAAAAATTAAATAATTAATAATAAATTGTTTTATTTAAACCTATTCATGTCATTACTTACTACTAAAGTGACTGAATATTTCCTAGGATGCTGTTAAGGGGTTACATAAATTTGTGCTGGGTCAAAAAATCGATTTTTTTTATTAAATATTACAATATATACTTTTAAGAATATGTACTTAAAATTACATCAAGATCGGAGCACAAGAACTTATGTTATAGCAATTTATAGCGCGCTACCTCACAAACATTTAAAGGCAAATTGAATGAACTTAAAACTTTAAACACGTTTATCTCGGAATCGTATTTTTTTAAAAACTGCCGTTGCAACGCATTGCCTTGAGCATGAATTCTCGAAAACCAATTTTTCGATATTTTATGCTCACCGCAAACGCTTGAATAAAAAGACGTTTCGGGGCAAGGGCTGTATTTTCCACAATTTTCCATATTTTTGCATAATTTTTTTTACAAATACTTCAAAACATACCCTATTCGATGCTTTATAGTTCGTTTCAATATAATTATTATTATATACCAAAAAAAAATCACCAAAAAACGCTCATATGTATGTAACCCTTTAAGATAATTTAGACCAATTGGGTAAAGTTTAATACCTCCTAGTCTGTAAGCACCTTTTTGTGCTTTGCTTAATTGAATCGGTGAGATTAAGAACAGTACATCGTACTGAATACAAGTCCAAAAGTTAAAATTGTGACAAAATATTTTGAAAAAATTTGATTTAAAGTTCTAAATGCATTTTTTTGAGAATATGTTAACTATCTTATTCATGTTCTGTAAAATGGTTTAGATCTTCTTAAAAAATTTATTTTGAACTTTAAAATTAATTTTAGAAAATGACTTGTCAAAATTAAATTTTTGGACTTTCTCACTGATTCAATTGTAGGCGTCCGTTACGCATCGGCCTTCAAAATTAGGTTCAGCACAAGAGCCTCACATCTCACCCTAATGACATAAATAACTATTATCTTCAATCAATTTGTTGTAACACTCATTACTTAAGATATTGATTAAAGCCTAGCGAGTCTTTTTTTTTTTGTTACCAATTTGGTTAGGTTTTGTGCAGACTAGGGAGGATAAATTCATTATTTATTACTTTGGACCAATAACAAAATCGACTTCTGTTAGATCTGCCTCATTTTCTACTTTTATTAATAATTATTATAATCGTACAGTTTAACAAAATAAATTGTTCCTTGAAGATAACATTTTGTATGCAATTTGGCAAAGAAGGGTCTTTTTGTGCTTCGCTCAATTGCAGGCCTGTGCTACTCGTCAGCCTTTAAACTTTGAGCTCACCGCACTCTTGACCTAATGATAAACAACTATTTACCAAAGCTCAGAAAAAAGGCACTGTAAAAGTAAAAATACAGTTCCAGTTAATTTTATTTGCAAAATATTCAAAAATATCAAGTATAAAAAATCGTTGAAAAATGCTATCAGCTGTTTTTACTATAATTCGCAAATTCAAGATGGCGGAAAAGCTGCAATTGATCGCAAAAAACTGGACTAAAAGGCAATTTTGTTACATTTTGAACCTGAACTGTATATTTAAATACTATTTTAGCTTATAATAAATTTTTTACGATTTTTTAAACTTTTTTGCTAAAATTTTCCAAAAACCTTATTTTGTTTTAGATTTGATTTCAAAGGTATTATAGACTACATATTTTACGCGAAGCAGACAATGACTCCGCTGGGTCTTCTTGGTCCCCTGTCGCAAGAATGGTTGTCCCACAACAAAGTGATCGGGTGCCCACATCCCCACGTTTATTCAGATCATTTTCCGTTGCTTGTCGAGCTGGAAATGGTGCCCACGATATCAGCTCCAATCAATGGTATCATAGGTCACAGGTAAGAGATAACCATTAAGAAATTAACAACCCAGCTTGATAATTACACTATGATAGTTTTATATACTTTCTTTCCTAACATTGAGTACTCCAGCTTAGTTTAACTAATTTTGGGCCGCTGATTTCAAAATGTCATTGGTTTTTCTCTAGGACGTCTAGGATTTAAAATAATTTCGTAATAAAATGCTCTCAAAATGTAAGTTTTTTGTTAGTAATTTAATTATTTAT